TGCACTGTATTTTAGGCTTAGGTTGGACAGCGCTGTAGGGGAGCCTACATCGCTGTTCCAGAAGTCTCTGGAAATCCAACCTTGGCTCAACAGCGATGTCTAAAGTCCAACATCGCTGTTGGAAGACTTAACGCCAAACCATGTTTTTGGTTACCCAGGCCAGACAGCGCTGTTGATTACCCCAACATCGCTGTTGGGCTTGGTTTAGCCAGACCATGGTTGGTTTAGTCACGCCGTTAGCCGATGTCAAAAACGCAAGTTCTCCAAAATAAAAACCAAGTTTAGAAAATATTTGTTTATTGCAATTTGCTAAGAAATCAAGTAAAACATCTTAAAAACCACGTCATTTAGTTGAAAACCACGGCTAGCCAAGTTCGTGCCGTTTCGCATGGTTTTCACTAAACGATCAAAAACGGAAGGTGGTTTTTGAGGCGTTTTTGTTGGAGAACTATTTAAATATGCCCAGAAGTAAAAACCAGTTATAAAAAGTTAAAAACCACTTGGTTGGTTCGGACGCCAAAAACCGATGCCGAAAACCGAGAGCCGAACGCCGGTTTCTGAAAGCCGAACGCCGAATGGCTTGGTTTTTGGCTTGGGCGAACTCCAAGTGTTTTGACCCAAGTTTAAACTTTAAGAAAAGTATTTTTGAATATGTAAAAGAGATTTTTATGAATTAAGCCTAGAGAGCCAAGATTTGGAATTTTGTGCCGGTCTTGATCACATTAAGACCGACTCAATACAATTCTAGTTCTTCGTTCTTGATTCTGGGTTCTTGGTTCTTAAGTCATCATGCCATGTTCCTTCGCCTTAGTTTTGCTCACTTTAGCTTCGATATGTCGCGGCGGTTTGGCATTATCAAAACCTGTCATAAACGAACACAGTTTAATGCGACGAAGGCGTAAACCCGTGTTCCAACAGAGTACAATGAAAATAATGCCAATATATAGTATCAAAAAATATAGTAAGATATCACTATACAATGTTATTATGTGTTTGTGCAAACTCTATTTTGAGAAAAAAAATGAAATTCTTATTTTGAGGATGAATGTTATGTTTTACTCCTATTTCGAGTGATTTCTAATTAGTTTTTAATTTCTATGTGTTCTAAAATAATTCTCGTATAAAAAATGAAATATTATTTTCGCGGTCCTCATTGATTGGGTACCATTCCACATTTTGTTATTTTCTAACGGCATGAAGACAGAAAACTAGACGGAGAACTGAACATGGAATAATGATATCGAATTGATGAGGACTGTCATCATAATATTTGATAAATATTGATTAAATATGGAAAACTTCTATTTATAAAGGACTTTTTAGGGAATTACTCAAATAAAAACCTCGAGAGATGGGAAAAAGGAGGGTAGTTATTATTTTAAAAACAGAAGTGTATAATGTGAAAGAAAAATGATAGGGTACACCAAATGTGTACCCCAAATGTACACCAAAGTGCTCTCATAAGTCATTCCACATACTTCTAAATGTATAAAACAAAAGAAAATGATAAATAAAAATGTACCGTTACAAAATCTTTGGTGTACATTCGGGATGCACATTTCACATTTGGTGTATCCCAAGCAATCTCTCAATGAGAAAGTTAATGTCGACATAAAAGGGCACAAAATCCACGAATAAAAATCATCATGTTCTCAAATGCAAAGGATGGTCCATACCAATACCAATACCCATTTTTCATGTGTGTATTATTTAGTGCACACTCACTAGTCACTACCCGGAAGGAGAAAGAGGGAATGGCCTTGGGCTCATCTTGTCTTTTGCATTATGGTTTTAGATCTTTTTTTTTTGTTGGAAAAGTAGTAAAGGGGCGTTTGGCTTTTTGCAGATTTTGTGGGATTGTTGTTGTGGGAATGACTGATCTGGTTTTTTTTTATTTCTAGCCTTTTATGACTTGTTTTTTTGTGTGTTATTCACTTGATTATAATATACTCTCCTCGTCTACAAATAAACTTCCCGTTGCGCGTTACGATGTTTGACTTAAGTTATTTTCAAATCATTTTATATGAAAAATGGTGTAAAATTTAAAACTAAAAATTACATATTAAAATACTATATTAAAAGATCTACAAAACTAGAGGTGACATGATTATACGGAGTATTATTTTATCAAATGGGTGACAAAAATAAGCTAAGAAAGTGAATAAAGTTTGACCCTGTGAATAGTAAACGGGAAATTTATTTGTGGACAGAGGGACTAAACTGAGGGAGTAATATTTGTCCACATACATTTTTTAAATTTAATGATGTACAATGACCCAGTTACTCTACTTCAATTAAGATTTGAACTTGAATGAACTTTCTTATCAATCTTGGAGACTAGACTTCCTGTCACTCAAGTCAAGGGAGATCTTTATCAGATCTTGTTCATGAGTGATATGGAATAAAAATTTTATTTGTTTCATACTCCTTATGTGCCCTAAAGATATTATTCACACTTTTAATTCACAAATTTTTAAAAAGTAGTTGAAAAGTGTGAGCATAGGTTATATGATTAGAATTTGTTTAAGGGATATATAGTGGTTGGTAGCTACAAATTCACTACCAAATCAAAATAGGAAATAAAAATTGTAAGATGGAATAGAGTGAGTATTAGACTTTTAACTCTTCATTTATAGACATGTGAAATTAAAGACTCTGATTTTAATGAATATGATGAACTCAAACTCCACCAAAATATGAGCAATTATATGAGAGATCAAAGCTCAAAAGACCAAGTGAAACCAAGAGAGTACATGTAATCAGCTACAAAACACAGATTCATAATTAACTCTCTTAACTATATTGAGCATTGCTCCCAAACTCCGAGACGGCTGTGCTTCGCTTTCGAGTTCACAGCTCAAGTCTCTTCACAACCCCTATCATGCGGGGGCTAATTCCTTCCTAGGTGGGCTAAATCTGGGCTTTATGGTCTATTTGGTATACGGAACTGACGGAATTAGAATTAAACTGGGAGTTAAAATTCTAATGAATTGATTTAGATGTAATTAAAATCTCTAATTCCGTTTCATTTTTGGCACTACCAATTCCAAATTCATATACTCCCTCCGTCCCCCTGTATTTGTCCACTTTCATTTTTACACACCATCCAATGCACTTCTTTAATCCATTTTATCTTGTAATTTGTATATTAAAAAATTATAAAAATTATATATTAATAATCTATATGTTAAGAAAAATCAAACAAGATCACACATGACTATATTTAGGCTTACACATTGAGAGAATTTGATAAGTCAAAGTGCTTAGATGAACAGTTTCAAAAGTCAAATGTGGACAAATACAAGGGGACGGAGGGAGTATTTATTTTTGTGCTACCAAACAACAGAATTACAATTGTTGTCTCCAATTCCAATTCCATAATTTGAATTCTGTGTACCAAATGGAACTTTAGAGTTGTGTCTTAGATCGTGTGTAGTGCAGTGGGTCTACTCCAATATACATTTATATACACATCAAAAGTAATTTTATAAACACTTGAACAATATATTACATCCATCTTAGAGTATTTATCTGATTTTAATTATTTGCATTTAAAATTGACAAACTTTGACCATTAATTGAATAAAGCTAATACTTCATACAAGAATACTTTTATTAGATTTATATTGTAAACTATTTCAAAATATTGTTTTATCTAATTAATATATCATTTAATTTTTATTTGATTAAGGGTTAAAGTTCAATCATTGTTGATTGACTGCAAAATGTCAAAACTAGGCAAATACTTCGTCGGTTTTAGAAGGAGTATTAAACTTATAAACATGTACACGTACGCACTTAAACATATGTGTTCACACTTGTAAAGTAATAACATTAATGTTTTGGATAGTTTTTTAGTCCCTAACAGTATGGATTGAGTTTTAAAATTTAACACCAAAGGCTCACGTTTTATACTTTACTTTTTTTTAATATCCGAAGTGTTTTTCTAGTTTTGGCTTTTTGCACACAATATATTAAAGTCAACATTTGAGCTATAATTATTAAATAAAAAGTATATGTCATATTTATTAGATAAAAGAACTAGATAAGCCAATATTTTGAGAATATTTTATAAGATTAATCTAATGAAATTATTTTTATATGAATATTCTTTATCAATTTTATTTAATTAATAATCAAAATTTATTAATTTTAACTAAAAAGTGTCAAAACTAGCTAGACAAACAATACGGGAATCAAAGTGGATCACGTTTTAAAACTATAAACGTTGAGTTAAATACCAGATACATTAAAGAAATTTACGATACTTTTAAATATATAGAGAATTAGATTGGTGGACAAGACATAGTAATTAATACCAGACTAGACCTTAACCAGATCTTAATAAAATTAAATCAAATCCAATTAGATCAAACAACGAAACAAGCTCGAGTAGGCTTGCACTTGAATGAGAGGTGGCTACACCAATTTGCTTCTAAAGAGTTTTGAGCTGAGCATAAATCAAGATGCTTTTCACTCATAACATTGGCCGATGTGGTATTTGTTAGAGTATTTAACTTCAAAAATTAAAGAAGAAAATAATACATTTATGAGTTCTCCAGTTAAATAAACATTATTAATCAATTAAACACAACCTTTTAATGTTCTTGAATCAAAGTATTTTTTATCCATTCCATTAATCCTTACCCAATCTTAACTTTTATCATATCAGAACATGTTTTGGCCCACGTCACTTGTCATTATATATGTATAGACATTTATTCGTAGCAGCCTGTAATTTTTTTCGGTCAAATTGAAGAGCTTTAATTATCAATTAAGTGCTGCGTAAACATTACATTGCCTTTTAATTCAAAAATAATTTCAATGCATTAAATTATCTTATAAAAAGTTTAAAGAAAGACATTTCAATCTATTAATAATATACAATATGTATAATAATATGTATTCAATACGTACGTAGATGATAAAAGAATTTGTTAATAATTACTTAATTTATCGTCTAATTGCAAAAAAAAAGTTGGTAAATGGGAGAAATACTCCCAAACAGAAAGACTATTAATTTTGTTTCATTAACTAGCAAATGATGCCCGGGTACGACGTATGGCGATGATTTCGCTAGGAATGAGTGGTTTAATTTAGGTCAAATCGTTCAACATAACATAGAAAGTTTGACACAAAGTCTTTCTTCGTAAGAAATGAACACTGGATCACACGTTTCGGATGCAATGAATGAGACATGGGTTCTAAAAGTGGGGTATATTCGTTAACATTTGGAAAAAAATAGTGTTGAAAACAACCAATTTTATCCGTCTCATAAAGTCTTTGACGTTTCAAAAAAACTATGTCCCCAAAAGTCCTCATTTCTATTAAAAAACTACTTTAATTTTACTCCTTACTTTTTCTTATCGTACATATCACATCATACCTTTTTTCTAATAATCTATATATCACATTCTACTTTTACCCATCACATCAAGGGTATTTTTGGAAAATTAACATAAAATTATCTCTTCCTTATTTTACCACTTTAGTCAATATGTCTTTATCTTTATGGAATGGAGGGAGTAATTTACAATCAGAATTCACACCTGTAAATGATCATACCTTAAAAAAAGTAGAGAAAGAATAGTGGTTAATAAGACTTTGAATTGAACAAATTAAAATCATCCATTCAATTTAATATTTTAGTGTAATTTGACTCAAATGTCTTAAGATCATTTAAATAATACATATCTTATTTTAAATTGTATTCTTTATATGTACATATAAAAAATTGAAAAAAATTAGAGGAACACCATATTTTGACACTACATAATTTCATTATACCCACAAACAATGCTATCTCTGATCTGTAGGGCATAAAGGATACTTGTATGTGCAATATTATTGTGTCAAAGGCTGAAGATAAGGTATGTTAAAGGGTATCCCACATCGGAAAAGTGTGAGACAAATAATACTCCCTCCGTCTCAAATTATTTGTCACATTTCTATTACCGAGGCAAAATATCAAGTTTTTTCAATTCATTTTATTTACATATTGGTAAAGAAATAAAAAATAAAAATTACATATCAAAAAACTACATGAAAAGTTCTTCAAAATAAGAGGTGTCAAGAATATTTTATTTTATCAAATAACCAATGAAAACGTAGAAATAAACAAAAGTTCCCGCGACTGCTGAAAAAGCAAATGTTGTGAATATTTTGGGACGGAGGGAGTATGTATATAAGCTTTTGAGTTGAACTAAGTAATCAATTGGATTTAATCTTTTAATGTGGTTTAGCCCAAGTGGCCTGTAGCCCAATCCAGTAATCTCTACCCAATCTTAAATTCTGTTATGGTATAACTCTTCGAGAATTTTTTTAATACAACAATGCTAAGAGTATACCAAAAAAATGTACCTCAAATTGTACATCAAAGAAATGCACCAACTAACATTTTGATATGTCATAGTCACCAAATATCAGTGCAATCAAAATATTTTATACTGCTATTTGTGCTTGTGTGAATAATCATACAAGTATCACACTTACACAAAATAAAATTGAATATTTATGGTTTATAATTTGGAATATAATTTTTTGTGTACATGTAGCTTAATACGGAGTATAATTTTTTAATGTCATGGAGTTGGAAAGAAGTGAAGATTGGCCCAAAATTTTGGAGTCGATTTCAACAGTGTACCTTATTTTTACTATGCAATGTATTTCACCAATCTTTAAAAGGGAGAACTAAAAGTCTTTGAAATGATACCTGTAGAAAATAAGAGAGAAAATATTTCTGTATATTGAATTGGCTTATGAATAAAAAGGTCTAACCCTCTTTATATAGAAAGAGAGTAAAGCATATAAGTAAACTTCTATTCCTACCATATTTCTATTCCTACTAAAACAAGAAATAAACAAACTAGGAAAGATACTAAATCGAATCCCAAAGGGATTCAGTTTCCTTCTTCGGTCCAGCTTCCTTCTTCTATCGCCAACACCCCCCCTCAAGCTGGAGCGTGGGAGTTCAACATGCCCAGCTTGGACATCAAAAGGTTGAACAAAGCTTGAGGAAGCCGCTGCCATTGTTGTCCAAGGGTCNCTGACTTTTTTATTGCCTGCAAAGGAAAGAGTTGTATGTCTCTATATAACAACTCTTCTCGGACAACTTCTTCGAGATTGATGGTTGGGCGGGATTCCTCGACAACAATGTTCTTCGTTGAAGGAGCTAGTTCATGATATTCTTTAGTGAGGGAGAACCGTCAAAGAAAATAAAAAATTACAATATCCCGCCGGTAGGCATCGAATTGTGTATGCCCACCGGCAGGGAAGAAGCGTGTTTGAGGTCTCAAGAATTCAAAACTTGCTCTGATACCATGTAGAAAATAAGAGAGAAAATATTTCTGTATATTGAATTGGCTTATGAATAAAAATGTCTAACCCTCTTTATATAGAAAGAGAGTAAAGCATATAAGTAAACTTCTATTCCTACCATATTTTTATTCCTACTAAAACAAGAAATAAACAAACTAGGAAAGATACTAAATCGAATCCCAAAGGGATTCAGTTTCCTTCTTCGGTCCAGTTTCCTTCTTCTATCGCCAACAATACCCTTTTAGTACACTCGAGTGTTACCCTTAAAATAAAAGTGTTAATTTTGAACATATAAAATAATAGCAGCACATAAGTCAATGTTAAATGATTACTCAAAGAATTAGAGACAAACACGAGGTGTTTTATGCAAATAAATAAAGAAATACTACGTACGACTCCCACAATAAAGGCAAACGAATAATTTACCTTTGCTCCTCCTTTTATAATGGGGAATTAATTCACTATTTCTATATATTTTTCACAATTATAAATCCGGCTATCACTTTGTTCATATAGAGTGTAATTTATCAAGAATAGAACAAAACTACTTCTACACCAATAAGTGTACTCCAATTTGTCCACATCATATGTGTACACCGCCAATTTGATGATTTTACTGACACATAATATTAGTATAAAGTTTTCAATCGCCTTATATTTTGTGTTACTGTGAACCAACAAATGACAGTGCACACCTATGATGTACAAAATAGAATACACTCTGATGGGTATAACTCATTGGTACCACCCGATAAGTTCACAAGCTCCCGGGAGGTACCGAAATTTGATTCCACTTGACCTCACCGACCCCGATAATCTGACCGGGTAAGCCTGGTCAGGGATCAGACCTGTGGGATCGTGACTTAGTATTACATTGGTTTTACATCATCACACTCCTTGGCTTAAAAGTAGCATGGTTGATTTATCAATCTTAGAGTAATT